CAATTATTTTGGTATCTATCATTAGGACAGTTTAGTAGTAAAACTTATGTAAATTGTTTAGACAGTAAAATGTGATGAAAACTAATTAGTGAAAATAATCCTTGCTTCTTAAATGGTTGCTCTTATAGTTTTAAACCTTAAAAGGGAAAATAAATGACACAAGAAATACAAGGAAAAAAGATGAATATAAAAAATGGTTTTTATCTGGAAGATCTACTATATTAGCCATTTTGATTATGAAAAATAAAAGTAAAGACTTGCTGGATTTTCTTGGGTCATCCAGGAAAAATCATTGCAGTTATACAGATTTAGTTATTCTTTCAAAAAATATTGGTGCCTATCATGTGCCAGGCTGATTCTGGTTTTGGAAGATATGCTAGTTCTATTCCTTTAGGATGTCCAGATTAGAAAGTGTGTTTGGCCGGGCGCGGTGGCTCATGCCTGTAATCCTAGCACTCTGGGAGGCTGAGGCGGGTGGATCGTTTGAGCTCAGGAGTTCAAGACCAGCCTGAGAAAAAGCGAGACCCCGTCTCTACTATAAATAGAAAGAAATTAATTGGCCAACTAATACATATAGAAAAAATTAGCTGGGGTATGGTGGCACATGCCTGTAGTCCCAGCTACTCAGGAGGCTGAGGCAGACGGATCTTTAAAAATTGATCTGGTAGACTGTCATGATTTCAAAAGACATGGCTCTAATAATTTCTAAGAAGCAAGGTTTAAATTATTGAATTATTTCACATTCATGTCTGGTCACCTAAATGAAAAACATACTAAAATTCATACTCAGGGGATGGGCGGGGTGTGGTGGCTCACACCTGTAACCCTAGTACTTTGGGAAGCCAAGGCAGGAGGACTGCTTGAGGTCAGGAGCTCAAGACCAGGCTGAGCAACATAGTGAGACCCTGACTCAAATAAAATAAAATAAAATAAAATAAAATCCATGTTCAAAACAAAAATTGAGGATAATTTTTCAACCCTTTGTGGCTTACAATCTTAAAGTCAATAAGTCATCATCACTACTTCCTAAAAAAGCATCATCTATATCTTCTGCTTTGCAGGGCCTTTCTAAGCTACTACTGCTTTGAGAAACAAACATTCAAAATAATCCCTGACAAATGGAAACAATAAAAGTGACTTGTCCCTAGTTCTTCTTTGTCTGCTGTGAGCTAGGTTGATGCCACTGCACTCTAGCCTCGGCAACAGAGCAACGACTCTGTCTCAAAAAAAAAAAAAAAAAAA